GTTTCACATTATATTACGCAGGATCTGAATCATGTATTTTATTTGTAAATGATAAAAGTTATTAAACTGCATGCCTTTACTTTTGATCACCTGCTATTCTTTTTCTAAAAATATTAGATTATAATTAAGGTGTTTCGGATGTCATACTTTAATGCAATGTACACGTTATCTACTAGTTGACTAGTGTTAGTTATAAAGTACAGTAGAACTTCTATCAGTCGAACTTCGATTAGTCGATTTTCTCGATGTGTCGAATAAAAATGAAAGTCCCGACTTTCCCCCCTATATATTCCTTATAAAAACCTATTTATGAGTCGAAATTTTATGTGTCGAATTTTTCGATGTGTCGAGGTTTTTTCGTGGTCCGTATAAAGTAAATCTAGTGCAATTTACCACAAATAAGTCGAAGTCGTTGGATTGTTTTGACACCTTTGACCTCGAGACATTTTTCACACCTTATCTGGCTGCGAAGACGATTTCCAATCAACTTGTGTGATAGGTGTTAATAACACAGCCGTGTGTTCAAACAGCCTTTGTTTGCGATAAAATGTGTGATAAAATGCTTTAATCGTAACTTTTTTAATTGCCGTATTGGTATTTGAAAGTAAACAGTAAGAACTACTTCACTACTTTCATTTGAAAACATCCTTGACCCGGTGTCGCGTGAGAATAACACGCGAAATATTTACTATAAGGTGGTTTAGTTATCGCCCTTTCGTAATCATACGCCTTTTGTAACTCTTTGGGTAGTCGTGAAAAACGTAGTTTGACATGCTATATTTATCATTGTAAAATTTAAAGATAAGATTAATGATGGAAAAACATGAAATATGTTTCTTTATAGAGCTTATAATTAGGACTAGTCACGGGTCGAAATTTTGTCATGGAATTGAGAGCGATTCATGAGTCGAAGTCCCGATGTGTCGAAGTTTTTACGCAAGTCCCTTCAACTTCGACTTACCGAGGTTCTACTGTATAACAACTTTAATTCTAGTAGATATGGAAGTCAACTCATTGTATAGGTGAGATCATTTTTAATATTACCTATCATATATATGTGTGTAATGGTAAAAACCAACAACAACATTTCAAAGTTTCTGAGTTTAAATACTCATTTTAACAATTCATTATGAAAATTATCGTTATATTGCATTACAATAATCACTACACTTGAGCAAAGAAATAAGCATTCTTACACAATTTCTCCTATAAATATGTAGTAAACTAAACTATGTTATCCAAAAAGATTTGATAAACAAGATCAACAGTCTTGACTAATCAATAATGGTAAAATTATCATAAATTAATTTCCCTTTGGTAAGGTGTTCCGTTTGGACAATCGTGTTATTTTATTTAGTCTGTAACCGCGATGCACGATGGCACGATGGTGAAAACGCGATGGCACGATGGTACGATAGTGAAATCGCGATGGTAAGATGATGAAATCGCGATGGTACGATGGTGAAAACGTGCTATAACCCTTGTGCACAGTACATGTGGGGTTTCAAGTTGATATATTAAAAACAGCAAAAGAAAAAAATGCAACCATGCATTAAGCATATAATTATAAGCATATATCAAATTGTCTTTGATCTATTTACAATAAAATTATATAAATGGAAAATTTAATGTAAAGATAAAGTGTTTTATTATATATAATTCAAATTAATAAGTTAGTATTCTAAATTTGTTAATTACTATCTCCGTATCAGAATCTACGGAACACCGTAAGAATTTGATATCTTTCTGTTCGTTTACTTGTCATACTGACTAAAAGGCGATGATACGATGGCGCGATGGCACGATGGTGAAAACGCGAGGGTATAATGGTGAAAGCGCGATGGTACGATGGTGAAAGCGCGATGGTACGATGGTGAAAACGCGATGGTACGATGGTGTTAGTGCGATGGTAAGATGGTGAAAACACGATGGTACGATGGTGAAATCGCGATGGTACGATGGTGAAAGCGCAATGGCACGATGATGAAAACACGATGGTACGATGGTGAAAACGCGATGGCACGATGGTGTTAACGCGATGGTACGATGGTGAAAACACGATGGCGCCATGGTACGATGATGAAAACACGACATAACATTGCGTTTTCACCATCGTACCATCGCAACATCGCGATTTCACAATCGTACCATCGTGTTTTCATCATCGTACCATCGCGTTTTCACCATCGTACCATCGTGCATCGCGGATAAGGAAGAGATAAAACAATAACGATTGTCAAAACGGAACAACGTATTTTGATGAACAATAATAAGGTATCCAACAGGTAGACGGGTTATGATATCGATGGATATTATCTTTTTTATTGGCGATCATCAAGAGGTTATTTCATGACGAGTGATCCTTCATCAAACACTATTCTGAGCTCTTTTTACATATCTTTAATGGACATATTATCTCACAATGTTAAAATATTGCGTCGATAAACCGTGACCAGAATATCCTCTGATGTCCCCACTCTCCTTTGTTGTGACATTTGAATACCTATGACAGACGTATGTTCTGTTATGATTGAAAGAGTGCATATATTTTCTTCTTACTAAAGAAATATCCAAAATATCTGCCACTCGTTTATAAGTCACGATTTACAACAAATATCCATATCTATCAATTTCTTTTTAAAAATTGCATTTAATTTATTCTTTTAAAACATATTACATAAAAGGAACAAATGAAATAGTAATTAATTCCATCACAGTGTCAAATTCGTGTCAGGGTTTGTTAAATTTCAATCAAGATTAATTAAGAAAATACTTAAAAATCACCCTTGAAGTGAATTATAAGGTAAAGAAGACTTTTAATGCCTCTTGAAAAGAAGTAAAGGAACCAAGTATATTACTCAAGGTACTATTCATATAAATATGGTGTAAATGGACGCTTATTTTGTGTAATCAGGTCTCTGTATGAAGATGTTAAATTATGTGTACGTCATATGGATTCCTTGTCTGATTTTTTCAAATGTGATGTTGGATTATTGCAAGGGGAGATAATTTCTCCGATACTTTTCTCATTATTCGTAAATGATATTGAGTTGTTTTTACAAAAAGATGATAGTTCTTGTTTGACATTAGAGCAACTTTCTATATACCTACTACTTTTTGCCGACGATGCAGTCATTTTCTCAGAGACGGCGCATGGGCTTCAAACTTCATTACATAATTTAAAAGACTATTGTAATAAATGGCAATTAAAAGTAAATGTTAATAAAACGAAGGTTCTTGTATTTAAAAAAGGTGGAATGACCAATGTAAATGAACATATTTATTACGACGGGGAAGAATTGGAATTTGTTTCAAGTTTTAATTACTTAGGTATTGTGTTATCTAGTGGTGGATCTTTTAAGACAGCAACAAAAACATTAGCTGATAAAGCTCTTAAAGCTATGGGCTCATTATTTAGTATTACAAAATGCATTGAAGTTCCTGTAAATATTATGTTAAATTTATTCGATTCATATGTTGCATCTATATTGAATTATTCTTGTGAAGTATGGGGGTTTGAAAAAGCGGAAAATATTGAACGAATACATAGAAAATTCATGAAATGGATACTCAATGTTAAAATGTCTACTGCTAATTCTGCATTATATGGTGAATTGGGTAGATATCCATTATATGTAGTTAGACAAGTTAGAATTGTTAAATATTTCCTAAGGTTGTATGTTGAAAAGGATTATAACTGTATTTTATCAAGCACAATGAACACTTTAAGATATGAAGCTGAAAATTGTAACTTTGTGAACTGGGCATCTAAAGTCCGAGATTTACTACAAAACACTGGTTTTTACGAAGTATGGATGTATCCATCTTCGGTAAATATTAATATGTTTGTTCCTATTTTTCGTACTAGAATTATTGACATGTATATAAATAATTGGAGACAAGATATTTGTTTAAAGTCATCTTTGTTTTTATTTAAAGAATTAAAGCCAGATTTTGAAAGGTCCGAATATATAAATAAAATGAAATGTCGTAGTTTAAGAAATATTTTAGCTAAAATACGTTTATCTTCACATGACCTAAATATTGAAACTGGTAGACATAGAAATAAAGATAGAAACGATAGAAAATGTACACTGTGCCAATGTAATGATATTGAAGACGAATACCATTTTATTTTAATATGTCCAATGTATGCTTTACTTAGAAATCAGTCTATTCCTAGGTATTATCATAGACACCCGAGTATGCTCAAACTCACACAATTGTTGAATTCTACAAATGTAAAGGTCTTAAACAAATTGGCTCCGTTTTGCAGAAATGCTTTTAAATTAAGAACAAATGAATTAAATTCTTTGTTATGATCTGATGAAATATGTAAAGTTGTTTGCATGTTTATAATATGATATTTACATTATTACTATGTGCATGTAAAATTTGTTGTATGTAACGATGAACTGTAAATGTTCAAGTTAGATTTAAATAAAATTTCTGTTCTGTTCTGTTCTGTTATAAATAAACATCTACATGGTGGGAAAATCAAAATTTGTTTTTCAAACATTTCCTAGAATTTAATGTCATTTTCTGTTACTTTATGTTTTTATGCTAACTGTGATAATGAAACTAACTTTAAACAATAATTATCTCTTTAACTTTTGCAGAACCGTTTCTATCAAATTACAAATTCCAATTCGAAGAGTTTATATCGATTTATCTTATTGATTTATATAATTATATAGGTTGATAGAAAAAATCGAATAAGAAAGGACTTACGTATTCAACTTTGTTATTGCTGCAGATTAAACCTCAAGATTCCTTAAAGCTGCAATAAACATAGTAAAATCGAATAATTAGCTCGAGGAAAAACAAACACAAACATTAACAATTAAGAAACTGTTTAATTATTCATATTGTGCTAAAAATTACATCTTCAGAAGAAAATTTGATTTGATATTTACAAAGTCAATTGTAGACATGCATTTTCTTTAGTTATTGTAACTTGTATTTATGATGAAAATAATAATATTTAATTAAATTTACAGGATGTCGGAAATTCCTGATTACACTCGCAATGTGTCACTCAGACTGTCTAAAGTACTTGATGAGATAGGAGTGAACGAAAGAATGGTCATGAAAAGAAGGCGACTATGGCTAATGAAAGAATCAATACATACGATAGGACAACGATTAATACATGAAGATGTAAATGTGTATTCCTTAGGTAGTAGAATAGAAGGCACTACAACCCCTGGACTTAGTTCTGACTCAGATACACTTTTCAAACACCCCAGGTATAGTGTTATACAAGACTGGAGTGAATGGGAACCTGGTAAACAAAACCTGTTAATGATACAGGATGATACTGTATCACCAGGATATTGCTTATTACAGATACTGAGAAATGATGCTCCACTTCCAGAAGATAATGTGTATGATCAGTACTCGTATAGAGATAGAATAGGAAGAGTACTATTTAAGAACGCAATAGTCAATAGCATACCTGGTGGTGAATATGTTAGACATGGACCAGCACAATCATTGGATGAAATTCCTGGTTGCTATGGTCATGACATTGTCCTTGCAATTAGTTGTCAACAGTGGCCATTGCAAGCTAGACAATGGATTGCTCACCAACGTGAAGGTCAATGGCCTACAAATGATATGAAACAGTATTTTAAAACTATGGGGTGTTTCGTTGTCGGAGTTGGAGCCAAAGGCAGTGGAAATGAAGAGCTTGAATGGAGAATATCCACTTCCCTTGCCGAGCGATATTTAATGTTTAATCTGAATATAACACAAATCAGATGCTATGTCCTAATGAAATGATTTTAAAATCATTTATAAATACACAATGCCCTGACAGCATTTCAAGTTTTATGTGTAAAACAGTCATGCTTCATTGTATTTCAAGTACAGACAACAACGCTTGGAACGAAAACAACTTGCTTATCTGTCTGAATTACTGTCTGACAAAGCTTTACAATTGTGTTTTAAATGATTATTGCCCACATTTTATCATCCAAGAGAACAATTTAATGGCAAGACGTTTTACTCCAGTGACAAAACAAGTCATACTAGATACACTCTCTTACATAATAAGCAGTAACGGAAGTGCATTACTTGAAATAGAATGTGATCAACTTGGTTTCAGAATTCAAAACACTTTTTGGAGGTTAGTAGAGATTGTTCCTGAAGATATGTCTTGTAAGATTTCAGGCACCCTCGTAAGAGGTTTTGTTTTTCTTGTCAATGAATTTCTCTTGGTTGTCCTTAACGATACGAATAAAATCTGTCATATAAGAGTTCTATTGCAGACATTATATAAATACCTGATGAAATCCACTCATTATATGAATCAAGGGCAAAATAAATTAGCATGTAGTGCATTGGCTAAATTTCTCAGCATGCATTTAGGTTCCGCTCTAGCTTCAAGTCAAGTTGGTTTATGCAGAGAATCTACCGTTTTGATGTCGTTATGTCTAAACGTTGACCAAATATCGAGTAAAGTGAAACTAGCATCAATTTTCTATTGTACAGGAGAAATTGAGAGGGCTGAACTTATTTTGAAAAATATTGAAGAAAGTTATCAGTACAATGTAGTTGAACCAATATGTAGTTGCTACAATTTTCAACAATCTAAACTCAAAAGTGCATTTAATAAGTTATGTTATGAAGCAGATGATGAATATACTTTGCTACAGAGTATAATTACATCTTGTGTCAGGTTTCTACGATGTGAAATAAACTGCTGTCCCCAAGAACTCCAATATGAAATGTTCAGATCACCACAACAAGATATCCCTTATAGAGGTAGATATGATGAATGGATGAATTTGGCTGTGGTAGATTCTCTGCCGTATTTATACTTTCTACAGTATAAGACATATTCTCATCTCAGAAGGCATCGTGATAAACAGACTGCAATTTCCAACCTTGCAAAATGCCTTGTAGAGGAGCCAAATTTCGGACATAAAGAAACAGCACTAAACCTTCTGGGTCAGTGTATGGAGCAGGAAAACAAAATGGATGCTGCTTTAACGTGCTATCTTTTATCTCGGAAAATACGAGGCAGAAATAATGCTGCAAACTTTCATATCTGTAGACTTAAAAGCTCAATGTTGGGTTCAGGCTTCCATTAAAATAAATGTGGAGATATTTACTCTTTGTTAATTCGTACTGAAAATATGAATACATGTGATCCCTTTATAGAAACTCCTAGCTTGTCATACAATTTGAAAATGGAACAGCAAGTTTTTATATCTAGGATACAAATATGTGACTTCTTGACGGTGTGTATGGTTATTTGTATGCATCGAACCAGGAGTTAGATTGTTATGTAATGCATTTGTCAGACTTGTAAAGAGACTTAAAATATTGAAAGCATGATGTAAAATTTTCTTTTACGCAAATTTTAACAAAATAGAAATTACTATCTAATTTTAATACGTAAAGTCATTTCTTATAGTTGTATGAAAAGGATTATGTATCAAATATATTCAATGCCCAATCTTAAAATATTAAGCAAACGTGAAAAGAAAGAAGAAATGAAATATGAAATTCATATCTTATTTTATATTTTAGTACAAAGTCATGTTAATGTTTGTAATTTATAAATCATATGTTATAAGGACTGTCTTAAGTAAACTGAAAAAAGATATTCGTGTATGAATTCCATAGTCTTATGTTTTAATTCTTCATAGGGACTTACCGAGTTACATAGCGAAAAATAAGCACAAGAATTATCTATACGTATTTTCAAGCAAAATACGACTTATTTCCATTCTCTGTTATCTATATATATGGTACAATATGAGTCTTGCTATATTTATACCTAGAATTAAAAAATGTCCTTGTATGATGCCTTATTATAATACAGAATTAAAACAAGGTTCGCTGATATATGGAATTTCTTTAATTATTAGCTATATATAGTTGACATGTTTTTATTTGAAAATCATTTCGTGTTTCAACTGAATAAATTATATATTTTTCCAAATATTACTTTCTTTTTCAGAATGATACAAAAACGCATAAAATATTGAATGTTTTATGAAAAGTAATCCGTTGCTGTTTTAATGATTTTTATATTATGCACCTATGGATCTCTACAGCACATATGGATCCGAGAAGATGGAATTTGATAGCAAATTTGGTTGTTTGAAGCAAAGTCTCATTGAATCTCAATGAATGTTTCAAAGTAGTTTGTTTGATCCTTTTTCGAAGCATGACATTTTTTGACACGTCAGAACCCATTTGGTTTGAGTTATAGTGCACAGTTGGATCAGCTTAAATTCATGTACATTTTTGTATTTTTTTACCGATGCTCAAATTAGAGACCCACGTGTAGTTACCCGTGCATGAATTTATTTTTTGACAAAGAAGGTGAACTGAAGTATATTTACTTCAATGCATATATTCAGAACCAGTTTTATATTCAATTTTATCAGTGTTAAAAAACAACAACAACTAATGTAATGTAATGCAATGAACAGTAATGTTTTCATCATTGAACACTATTGAAATCGACATTAGATTCCTATACAATTGTACTATAATATTCAGGCGTGATAACTCACAAAATGTGGTTTGGCAGAAATATATATATATATATATATATATACTAAAATATTTAAACATTTGTATTATTACAATTTAAAAAAATTACGAATATTCAAAGTATTTTGTTTTCAATTCAGGAATGACGGTACCATTTTCCATTTATCATTACGACTTTAGGTTCAAGAGTTTTAAATGAATTTAGATTGTCTGAGATGTTTTAGGGAAAAGTATACAAGTATAAGGGCAAAACGCTCAATCAAAATAAGTTCATATATTTAATAATTTGACCAGCAAAATAAATGGAAAAATAGAAGAGCACAATATTTTAACAATGACTATTCTTTTACCCTACAATACTTGTGATAGTTTTGTGGTTAAATTTCAAGACCAAAGGCTCAGTTTTTAAAGTCATTTCCAGTGAATTGCCACTTTGCTGATATTCAGACGTCTTGGATAATCGATCATTTGAGCTTCCAGTGATTCTCCATGCAAATGATACCTGTGTTTCCGCCGGAAGTTGTAATGTGGTCTGTCTTGAATTTTTATTGCTGATATCAACCGGAAGCCAACCGATTACGTGAGATGCATGTTGAAGCAAGTCAGAGACGCTTGCATTTTCCAAACATGCATGAGGCCTGTCACTCAAAGCATAAACAAAACCGTTGTCATTTTCTTGGATAACACCAAGAAAGTAAGTGTTACCAACGTACTGTAAGAATTTTTGAAATGTGTAAAATACTGCTTTCTTCTGAAAATTATTATTGTGAGACGAAGTGAGTCCACTGCGGCAGAATAAAGTATCACAGTCGGTGTTGGCGTAGAAATACCACGTGGCTTTTTCAATATTTGACCTTGCTAGCAATAAAAGACCTCGTACAGCGTACACAGCTTGTGCACGCTCACTTACACATTCTGTTCCTCTACACTGTTCTCCCACACCATAGGAATCCCATCCCCATTCTGTAACCCATATGGGTTTATTCGGTGTGTTTGTGTCCCGCCATCTTGTTATTGGTCGGATGTTATTAAATGTGGACAGTTTATTTTCTGGATACGTTCCTTTTCGTATACCTGCGTCATCATTGATAAAACTGTAAGTATGACAGTTAATGACATCTATATTGTCCGCTACTTCCGGAAGAACCCGGGTACCAATGTAAGTATTTTCGTGGTCTTTATCCTCGGCCTGGAAAGTACCAGGAATAACAATCAATTTGTTATCCATGCTTTTAAGACCGCTTGCCATTCCTTTTAAGACCGAGGCATAAAATGCAGCGTTATAGTCCCATGGTTCGTTGCCGACCTCGACTGCTTGAACAAGACCATTGCCATGAACTGATCCAAAATGTTTTGCTACCTGTTGCCCGTAGTGAAAAGCAGACTGCTCAGGTGTGTTCCATTTGCTCTCCGGTACTGTTTTATTTGTGAATTGTATGGAAATATCTACGGTTAAATTTGCTGCATTCCATGCACGGTATTCTGTATCCCAGTTCAACCACCACATTGCTTGAGTTCCATGCCCGGCTGCCATTGCATCGTATTCAGGGTCAAGATCGGGATCAGTCACGTCCCAGACGAGATTATGATAATTACGCGCGTGACTTGCAACTTCACTATATAACAAAGGTCCTTCGTTAGGTCCTAATTTGTCACTGTAACTTTTTGTTCCCCAGCCCCAAATCCCGTTCACACCTAGCATTTCTCGAAATGTGTTAACTTGCGGTTTTGCGGCTATTTCAGGTCCCCATATGCCGTTTTCGTCCCAAGCGTCCACTTCAAAACAATAAACCTTTTTATAATTAACCATATGGACTTTGTACTCTAAAGTAATGTAACGAATATCAGCGGGCCGAAAACGTGAAGTAACGGCGTGTACAGCGTTTGGGTCTAAATCAGCAACCATATTCCATATATGCCCGTTTGTTGATGTTTTCAGTACAAGTTTTATAGCCGCATTACTTCCGGCCCAGTGGCGTGTTCGAATCGTACCGACGCGGCGTTCGTGACCAAGATCAACTGTTATATGCTCTGTGCACCCATTTTCCCCAATTGCACCTATGTCCTTTACAGTGAAACCTGAATCAGAAACGAGCTCTAGTTTGTTTACGGTGAAGTTCGTTCCAGGAATATTAATATTCTTATAATTATCAGTCGATGTGTAAGTTTTTAGTAAATGTTTTTGAAAGCCAAATTTTGTTGTTTCATACACATATAGATGTGTAGGACTTGGAAACACCCCGCCGACTGAAATTATTTGCAAAACTTGGGAATTTACTAAATCCACAGATAGGAACGCTGATGATCCGTTTTTCTGCACATGCGCTGCCGTATAAGGGTTTCCGTCTGTCGCGTCTCCGAGACCATTCCCAGAATTCCCACTTGATAAGCACGCGCCAGTTTTGCACGCGCCAAAAATTATATTAACATCATTTCTATTCAGATAACCGGATGGTAAACAGTGCGCTGATACCCAGTTCGTGTTGTCGTTACTGTCAATAACATTTTCAGGATGGCTACCAGACGATGCTTGGACTGTTACGTTATGTAACTTCGTATATGACTTGATGAGGCCAGCATCTGGATCCCAGCTTTTAATTGAACCAATGAACAAGGCGCAGAATATAGTGTATTTCAGAAATGGAGACAACATGTTTACCTGAAAATAAAAAATATCAAATATAGTCCATTACATGACTAAATTCAAATTGGAAGGACACACAAGCGCACGCACACTGGCACGCATGCAAAACAAAAAAAAAAAAAACAAAAAACAAAAAAAAAAAAAAAAACAGTATATTAATATTATATTTATTGATCAGATGATACTTTTTAAAGTTCTCTGAGAATACCCCTAAAGTTTGTTTGAA